CGCCCCTATCGAAACCGCAGATGCCGTCGTCTCTACCGCTGCTGCAGGTCTGGCCATCGCTGCCGCCACCGGTGCCGGCGCATGCACCTTGGCTGCCCCCCCTGCCCAAGCTTCGGAAGAGGCTCCACTGCTTCACGCCGCTGCTACCGACTTTCCTGCTGCTTTCGATAGGCTCCTCCAGGACCAACACTGCTGCTTCCGTCGCTCTTGCCGCTTCCTCCGACTGCTCTTCACACACCACCGCCGCCGCCGCCGGTGTCGCCGCCGGTGCCGCCGCCGGTGCTGAGACCCCAACTGTTGTAGATGGGCAGCAGGACGAATCTCATCCACATGATCTGCTATGGGTGATGGCACAAGTGAGGCTGCTGGCCGCTGCTGCTTCAACGACTGCTTGGGTTGTTCCGATTCCGCGGACGGCGAAACTACAACGCGTGATACGATCCAAGCACGTGTTTCTCCGCTACACGCCTACTACTACTACTGCTGTATCTCGCCTCCATGAGATCCAGCTCGTGGCGCTGCCGCGTTACTACAGGTGCTCCACGTGATGTGGGCCACGGGAGAGAATGAGTGGCGGGGTGTGTAACTGTGTTGAGAGAAGCTACGTTGGCGGGGGCTTTTACCGGCAAAGACGCCGCAAACGAACCGGCAGCAGCCCCCCCCCCCTCTCACCAACGAACACTCCACCACTCACCTGTCCACTCGGGGTCCACTCGCACCGCCGGTGTAGCCGGCCGCCAGCAGCTGCTGTTGCCGCAGCTGCTGCTGCTGAAATCCGCCAGCGCTGCCATACACTACGCCTGGCTGCTGCTGATGAAATCCATAAAATGTGCCAAACCCGCCGTGCGCCTGCTGCTGCTGGAATGGCTGCTGTACGGGAACACCTCTGCACGACTGCTGTAGATGAATGCTATGCTGTTGACGAGAAAAAACTTCACAGTCCCGAAAAATGAAGATCATGCTCGTCAGCCGTGGGCATAAACGACATGGCGTGCTACCGTTCCAGGTTGTTCAGTTCAAGCTCATGGTGGGCGCTGTGCACGATGTCTTCCAGCAGCTCGCGAGTCATCCACGGGTTCATCAGTGTAGACCGTTTCTCCACGTCGAAATCAGAGGACAAGTTGCGGCGCAACTTCGCGACAATCTCACAATCTCTCCCTCTGATATGCACACGTCCACAAGCACGCAGAGTAGCCCAGATTTCCTCGAAAGCGATAAAGCAGTCGAGAGGGTGCTCGCCCACACTCATCTTCAGACTGGAAAGTGACCGCCTCAGAGCCTCCTTCCCAGCAAGCGCTCATATATTTAACGTTCACGTAACGCTCATACAACGCTCATACACCAATCAATGTACTTCAGGTAGTTGCTCCATTACACTATTTACGACGGTTGTGTAGTTGTGTTGTGTGTTGTGGGGCCTGTCTGCATGGTATTGTTGTGGAATCCTTTAGAAGCATGTAGTCCATGTCTGCAAGAGCCGAGAAAACATGTGAGATCATGTTTACTTCGTAAGAACCGCGGAAGACAGTAGTGTATTTTTAGGAGTCAGTGCGGTTCGCTGTGTGTACGTTGGAGGCTGTGCGGAGGGATGTTACCCCTCTTTTTCCAATTTGTCCCGCTGATGTCCACAGGGTAATGTGCTGTGTGCGTCAAAACCACACACACCCATGGTTCTTAAATATAGGAGGTTGATTCAGCCTTGTGGGACGAGATCCAGGTGGTGAGGTAAATTCTAAAGCTTGACCTTCCCCGCAGCCCTACATATATATGCATTCATACCTCGTTCGATGCGTTGTTGCCCAACGGGAGGAATCCGGCGGGGTATATCATTTCTCATTTTTTTCGGGTACACGTCGCTATAACTGCTGCTTGCTGTTTGCATATTCTACACATCGTACTCTCCATGAACCATACCCGTCAGTGTACCGAAACAAAGTCATAGGCTACCGTCATACTGCAGGCGCTGCTGTATAAGTATGTTATAATAACGCAGAAATTGCATTGATTGGCCTAATCGGACTACTACCACACCCCTGGGCCAGCTCAACGTTCGGGACTTATGCGTACATACGTGCATCCATGCGCCCACCCCTTTATTTTAATGAAAATCGTCTGCATCATCACGACTCTGCTGCTTTGCTGTGCCAAGAGATCATTCACACACACACACATCCCAATACGCGCCGCCTAGGTTTCGCAACTCCTGATGCCACTCTCTCTCTCGCAAATATGCGTGCAGCCAGAACACCTACTATATGGTCCGGCGCTACCCTTGCCTGCTGCGGCCCTTGCCTGCTGCGTTGCAGACATCGATCGCCTGGTCCCTGGTGCCTTTTGAACTGTATCGCTAGCTCAGCTATGTAAAAAGCAGGAATCATGTTGATCGGTTCTTGGACCCAGCTCGTCGTGTGGTTGTGTGAAGATATGTAGGCACAGCTCCGCCAAAGGAACCCAAGGCTGGCCAAGTGAACACCACAACAAGAGTTTTTGGTGTGCTTGTTGTGCGCCATGTCGTTGTGCCCTTCGGGTAGTTCGCACGCGCGGCACGTCTATGTCAATCCCCCTTCCGTCCATCCTCCCGACGACGATAAATATTAGCCCGATCTATTATTCCACAAAACTCCGAACTTTGTTCGCCAAGATTCTTCCGCAAAATCTGCGGGTCCCTCAGTGGTAGGGTTGTGCCAATGCCCGGTGTACAGCAGTAGTAGCGCGGTGAATCTCGCCCGCGATTCAGACCTAACCCGCAGAAGTGCCGGCGGCGGCACTTGTATACTCCATGGTCAAGTCTACATATTGTATTCTATGTGTATAGCCTAGGGTCGGAACCCCTTGTATTCTATGTGTATAGCCTAGGGTCGGAACCCCTCTATTATAGTAGGAATAATAGTAGTACCGGTATCTGACGCTCGCACAGGCCGAAAAAGCTGCCGGGAAACAAAAGCACCGGTTCTTCTCCAAACAGCAGTCCGTCTTGGTCTGTCTGTGCTACTACTTTACTGGCAGTATAACGGCAGAATTTATCACCAAGTACATCATGAATACTGTTGTGTATAGTCTATTTATTGTGCTTCGTAGACCGCGTCAACACACGCGTTTCCACCCGCGGCCGATCCTCGACAAGCCTATGTGCCCACTTGTTCCCCCTGAGTTACCCCCCTTCCTTGCGCCCGGGCCGCCGCCGCCTCTCTGACGGCAGAACGAAGTCAGACAGATTTTAGTCTGTGATCATTTGTGTTTACGTGCTTGCGCTCTGTTGATGACTCTTTAGGTCTGGCCGATGATGAACCGTGGCTCTGCAGACGGGGATGTGACGCACACCCGTGGCCGACGCAACCTAACCCACCCCCAAAGCCTCACCCACGGCCAACGGAGGGCCTGGTGGCCGAAAACTGGGCGAGTACGCGGACTGGCGAGAAAATAGACCAGTCTGGCGAGAAGGCGGCTGCACCGCGTTCTCGGAATGTATCTGCGGAACAGAGAGAGGACGCTGGAGAGCGAAAGACTGCTCGATCGACCAATCAGAGGGCGTAAAAGCCTTAGGTAGAAAGTCACTAACAGACCGTAAAACCACTGATGATTTGACCGGTCCACGTGCACAAGCGATAGCTTGGTCGTTTCAGCATCATCATCACCATCATCAGTCCAAGGCCCGTCGTTCGGTTGCCGCCCACCTGGTACATCAATCTAACCCTAACTCAACCCCCCCCCGTGGACGGGGAGAATCCAATCTCATCGCTTTAATGTTCTAGCCGGGCTGCACCCCGCGAGTCACGCATTTATTTATTCACTTCAGTGTGAAGAGAGGACATCATCCTCGATCGACGTTTTGGGGAGATAGATATGGCCCTTTGTGTTAAAATATCATCTATGAATTATGCCCATCTAGCCTACTGCGTCTTGTTTGCTAGACAGGAGCGACAGCGATCTCCCTAGTGACCTCACTTCCACCCCGCCGCTATCGGAGTAATCGGTGGCGGGTTGATTCATCTCTTCACGATCTTGTGGGAACGTGTGTTGTAACAAACGTACTGTAACGAGAGAGAATCGTCCTCGACAGGCAGCGGGGAGATGTGACCCTTGATAAAGATCGTTACCCCCACCTCCTCGTTTGATAGAAGACAGGACCAAGGCTGCCGGGGATAACCGGAACCCGACCGACTGGCGACGAGTCGATTCATTGCTTCAATATCTTCCGAGCGTCTGTGTCAACTGCACTACACGTACATCCGCCACATCAGTCACCAGACAATCTGCTTTATATTTTTTCCTCACCTCTTGAAGGTGAGAGTTGGAATCGAACCTGGGTCTTTGCCACTAAAATCAGACATACATCTCACGACGACGACAACACGACGACGACAACGCGAACCGAGGGAATCGTCCTCGATAGATCTAAAGACGATGTGACCCTTCCAAAAGCCCATGTCACACAAACAAAGGGAAACAATATGCACTGAACCTGACCCCATGTAAATGACCACAACATTGGTGGTATACGCAACAAACACTGGTGGTACATGTTGCGATGCAGCGCAACCTGTTCCTCCCTTTGGTCCCATCCCCTCTACACACGTCTATCAGACGAAGTACAAGACGAAAATACTCGTAAAACACCCCAGCGGAAAAAAACGCAACCCAACCCTACAAAGAAAGGGGACCGCCAGGCCGTGGTTCAAACATGCTGGACATAGAGCATGCTGCTCGCCACCACCAGAAACGCGCGTGCTTTACTGACGTGCCCCGGCTATCGTTCCATCTCGCTCCCAAACGACGTACGGCGGGTGTACACCACCAATCAACAAACACTAGCAGGTTTACCGGACTAGCATCCGGCAGTGTCAGACCCCCAACAAAAATACACCACAGCCTTCGCGGTCCTCTTTCACGGAACCACAGGAGCGTCGGAGTATGGCTCCGCATGGGGGCGAGCAAATGCCCGTGTTGTTTTGGCCGGTTCTTTGCGGTCCCAGCTGTACCACAGCCTTCGCAGTCCTCTTTCACGGAACCACAGGAGCGTCGGAGTATGGCTCCGCATGGGGGCGAGCAAATGTCCGTGTTGTTTTGGCCGGTTCTTTGCGGTCCCAGCTGTCGTCGTCCAGTTCTCGCCCGGCCGTTTCGACGGGAATCATGCCTGAGAATGTCATGTGAAGACGTAGTCTGATAGCTTCACTTGTCCAAATTACTTAGGTTTAGGGTTAAACAAGGACACCCCCGAAGGGAGAAATCTTCAAAAAATCCGAGGAACGCCCGTGTTTTGGGGTGTCCATAATTCTTTGTTCAGCATAAACATGGCCATAAGGCGGCTTAACGGCCCGCGCAACCCCCGGAGGGCAAACGCTAGTAGATCCTGGATACTTCGGCTGTCGGCCGTGCTATACTGGAGGCTTCATTACCCAAGCAGGGCGCATGAGAAGCCTGGCGAATAAAAAACAGCCCATTCGGCCCTCTTACCAAGCGTTTCTCAGCTCGATCGGGGGTAGCTAGAGACGCATGTAAACCTAAACGCCGCGATATCGACCACATCCAGCGGCTAGCTGTGCAGAAGATAGGTGGTCATCGGTAGATAGAACGGTTCTTGTCGCCGTTGCGTTAGTGAAGCTGTGTGGAACGCGTGAAGCTGTTAGAAAACATCCCCGCCAAGCAGCACTTGGATCGATGCTATCACGCATCGTGCGCGTGTAGCAAAGCCCCGTTTTTCTACAATTGGCCGGCGGCCAAGGCGCGCCCGATCAAGTGGTCTTGGATCCTACGTACTAACGTTCGCCATCCCGACAAGGTGCAGGATTTTCGACAATGACGCGAGAATAGTAGAAACCCAATGTCCAGCCGTGAATCGAGTTCTAAGTATGTAATATCTACCACACACCAAGAGTGGGTCTTAATTCACAGATGGAGAAAGAAATCTACGGTTGCATTGCGAACGTGTTGAGGGGCATAGCGGTGTAGACGGAGATTCACCACCCCCCAGCAGCCAGACAGTTTGGATAGCAAGTAGTGGACTGCTTTCACAAATTGCAAACAACCAGATTGTACACCAACAGGTTGCGCCCATAGGAAGCAGCAAAACCCTAGCTTTTTTCTGAACCCTACAGCGAGTCACGGTAGGCATCGATAACGCAACGCCCACAAGCAGCGTGCAAGAGGCTCAAGACTCACCCGCCGCGATGCCGGTGATGATCATGATCGGCCCGAACACCAACAAAGGAGCCACTGGGCCACCCCGATCGTACAACAACTCCGCCAGCATGGGGGCAATCAAACCTGAATAGAAAAGAGAAAGGGAAACAAGAGCCAAGGTCCGCAAGAAGACACATGTATGGGCGCCGTGAGCGTTGCTGACTTAATGATTCACTCTGCATGGTCGTTCCTTGAGTCTTGCCCTCGACTGTGGTGCCGAGCTTGAGTGCGTGGGAGAAAGACCCTGCATACCACACAATCCACTCGTCTGGAAGCATGCAGGAGTGGTGCGACGATGGGCATGTCACTCCGGTAGGGTGAGCTCCACACAGGTAAGTCAATCAACAAACAAATGTGTATCCATGTATGGGGCAGGAGCAAGAGAGACAACCCCGCTCCTTCCCCACAGAACCCGACTCTCAACTTGAAGCAGCAGTAGCGAGTAACAACACTAAAGATACCAAGAGACAAACATACACCCACCACACAGGCCCGGCAGTCTGACCCGTGATACGTTTGCCATATTCTTACGCATTTCCCGTACGAGCTCGGGTACATGTGACACCAGGCGACAAAACCAAACAAGCCAACAACAACATACACAACACATCGTGGCGGACGTTGTGTGAAAACGCTCGTCAACGCGGCAAGGCCAGCGCACAATACCCCGCACCTCCCACGCGCGTCACACAGCTCGCGGCTCCCAAGCCCACTGCTCGGTACTTTGTCGCGTACAATTCCGGCGTCAAGACATACATGACAATCCCAGGGATAGCTGCCGGTAAATGTCGCGAAGCAGCGCAGGGGTGTGGGGGGGGGAGAAGAGTGCAGAGGGGAGGCGTGCTCACTTTTGACCAAGGGCCACGAACCACCGTCAAGACAAACCACCGCTAATACTTCCAACAGAAACCTCGCCAACATGCCAACATATTCAAGTATCGTTTTGGCGGGTGCAAGAGGGCCCGTGTGGCGAGATGCCTGACGTCCTACACCAAGTTAGATTAAGCACCACCTACGGGAGGCAGGTCTACTGTATGCCTGGGAATTTGTGTGGCATAGTGATGAAACCTATATAGGAGTACGGTTTTGCAATATGCTGGAAGTGACCTACTTCCAAGTGATTCACGTTACATTCTATGGGTTTAATGCTGCAAAACTAAACCCGACTGATACCTGGTATGCAATAAGACTACACAGGTATTACTACACGAAACCCTACCGTTATGTAGTAAACCCTCAACCAAACTGGACTAAAGCGTAAGAACAATATGGGGGAGGGGAGTAGCAGGAATCAGAAACCCCTGCTACACGGGTCCTCCTGGAGGGTGGGGGTGGGGGTCTGTGAGTGGCTTCGGTGTGCTTGTAGAATCTCGGGTACGTTTTAGGGAATGGACCTTCACCTATCAAACGCCACCTGTGCCACACGACACACGACCATCGAAACACAACACTACGCTCCATCTTCTAGGTTTGTCCTGCCTACAATCTTGAGGGACGAGCTGGGAAGTAATGGTTGGAGGAGCGACACGCCGGTTTACATTGGGGGTACCTGTTTAGTGCTGGTTGAATAGCGCTAGTGCCCAGTATAGTGCCAGTATTTTCGGCGGGCACGAACTGAATTTCCAAGTCATTGTCAGTACTTTGACTAGTGCCGGGCGGGTACGGTGCCCGTGAATTTTCGGGGCACATGCCGGCACTAAACAGGGACCCCCACTGTAATCGCTTTCAACTAGAAGCGCGAATGATCTTGACCATCTAGGGGTCGTCGCAACATCAAGAACAACGAGTTCAGCACCGAAAACCACCTCGTCAAAATATTTTGCACGTCCCTGAAATCACAACCGCAGGGGGCAAGGAATGCAAAACCTGATTGTACCCAGCGCGTGGGGGAGGTGGCATCGACCTTGACTGCGATGAGTAGGCGAAGGATATTGGTAGTCTGCGGGAAACGAGAACGCCGACACGGGAGGATGACTGCAGCCGCAAGATATCCAGGTACGACACGCGGTCAAGTCACGGCGGGTGAGGCTTTAGGTTTTGCTTCGTCACAATCTGAACAGTACCACCCTGCGGCCGCCGTCCGATCTCTCTTTGTCTGTCTTATGGTAGAGTATGAGCCGAAGCCCCACCGCCCGTCTTTTTGCTCTATATCGCAAACACAAGCACACTCACTGACAACGAACAGGGTAAAGAGCGACGCCACCGCGAAGAGGGCCTCCACTTGCAGGGTCATGGCCAGCAAAAGGACGGCGGTCGCCGTGGCAAAGGACGACCACTTGAGAGCACCCACGCGACCGAGGCAACGCTCAGAGCACAGCCTCATGGCCGCGAACGCGCCTGTTGTAGGAACCAGGATCAGGAGGTGGGGTGGGGTAGCATCCTTTCAACAACAAAACAAAACAAGCGGCATGCTGTGGTTCGCTTAGCTTCCGTCCGCTGCTGGATGTTGGCCGACGTAAAGCAGACCTTTGCCAACTCAGTTTGTCGGCGGCCGTTGCTCCAAAGGGTGGGCATGCGAAGCAAGCAGCGGCGACAAGGACAGGTCGTGCAGGGTACCACATGTGTCGACTGGCGTATTGAGGGCACGAGTTCTGTCAACTAACGAGAAGGTGTCGCGCAGCACAACCCTGGTTGTCTTGGCACGCAATTCAGATCGCCAAGACCTGCACATTTACATACCTATTCAAGTACGCAAAAGGAGAGTGCCGGAAAAGCGAGGCCTACCGTTGAGCCAAGGACTCAACGCGACCCCGACCGTGACAATGCCACAACTACGATCAACTACCCTAAATAAACTTGCGTGCACGATATCCCTCCACGTGATCACATCATCGGGGGTCACGCCGTGCTACGGCAAGACTTACCCGGGATGAACGTTGCCCCAACGAGAGCGCTAAGGATGTACACAAAGTCCGCTTCCCCGCCCGATACCTCATCGTAGTACCTCGGCAGCAAGAAGGTCACACCGTAGTAGCTGCTCAGTGGTGCGGTCCATGACGTACGGGGATAGAGGGCAAGACGAGGAGCATCGTCGTATCATTACAGCAAGAAGAGCGATCATCCTGAGTACCGTGTGGTTATTGTTGACACAATTCAGAATTTTGGTTGAACGTACGCGGTGCAAGCTCATCCAATCCAAGAACGCCTTTTGAATTGGTTCCATAGTCCCCGCTCCAAGAAGGACAAGAGAGTAATACGTGATCGTACACACCGAGCATATTAACAGTGGCAGCGAGGACGCCGGAGTGTGGAAGGGCCGGGGGGGGGTGTTGGTGGCGACTCGTATACAACGCTGCCATGCGGTCTAACGTACCAAGGAACCAACGTCAGTGCACATCTTGCAACAGTCGCTTGCCGCAGCAAGCCGCCACACATCGCGACGAATCTATCTTTCCGTAGCCATCATATTCGTAGGTTGTGCCTACCTGATGTTCAGGGTGAACCAGACCACCCATCTGGAACGAGTACGGGGTCCCGTTGGCCGCGCACGGGACAAATAAAGCCAGAGGCGAGCGGAGCATCCACAGCCAGCGGGGAGGAAAGGAAGGGCATGCCAGGGCGACAACGTGACCGTCCGTGAGAGATGTACAGAAAAAGGGAGCGTTGATAGTTGGAAGTAATGAGAGCGGGTGTTATGAGCATCGGAGACGCGGCGGGGTGGAGAGAAAAACGATAATGTGGGTCGACCGATGGGGGGAGGAAAAATACGGTCAGTTAGGCGCCGCATCAGTACAAAGAAAAATGTGAAACAACATCGTGCAGCAACACCAAACAGGGAGTCCACGAATCGAACACGTTGGATCGGTGGGGGTGTTTCATGAGTGCAGGAGACAGAAAACTTCGCCACTCTTTTTATCTTCGACCTCTTTTTATCTCACACATTCTCTATCCCCCCTCCCTTGCCGCTGCCGCCGCCCCCGCGTCTGAACCAGATACGCCCACCGATACTCACAGGGACAAGGTGATCCTTCGCAGTATAGGAGTGTGGAACAGCTCGCGCACTTCTCCCGGCTCAATGTTGTCAGCCTCTTGCCCGTACGTCGCGGCGTCTCCGATCCCGGCCACAGCTGTTTCGCCGTCGCGGCCGCCGCCGTCAGAGCCCAGACCTGTCAGAGTGACAAACGCCATTGTCATCCGCCGAAGGGCATGTTGCTTTGTAGAAGCAGGTCAGGACGTCATCCCACGCACAAGCTGAGGAGCCTTCTAGCTGCTTGTCGCCGCCGGCGTCGATCACACACGAGTGGGGGTTGTGTCGGCGTAAACATCTCCGACGCCCACAACCAAACCACACGACACACGCGCTTCATTTAAGGCGGGGGAGATCGCGTACACTGCTGTACACGGAACGGTAGCGTTGGGTAGCTCATGGCACCTCGAGCAATTGATACAACTGGATGTATACATCCCGTGGACCGTTGCCGTCGTCGGCTGCACCGCTACGCACATCGACCGTTCCGGACGAACCGTGTGTTAAGTTGTGAACCTGAGATTCCTGTCGAAAAAAGGGTAAGGGGCAGCATTGTAGTCGCGATGAGACAAGAGAGCGAACTATGCAAAGCAGCCTCCCTCGGAATCTGAGCTCTCAACATCTTACACCCCCATTCCTTGCTCTTCTCACCGCCTCCCCCCTTCCTCTCCTCGAAAACACGGGACTACGGATAGAAACCTGATGACCCGGTCGCCCAAAGGCGAAGAGTATTTCCCTCACCGGCAGCCTGCCCTGAAAAGTCCAACCCGAGCACGTCAAGCTTGCCGTTTATTCTCGCCACGCTCTCCAACACCTGTAGGATGTAGAACATAGTACCTCAATCAACTTCTTTCTCAATATCCGAGGTTCCCGGCACAGTAGACATCTTTCCTCCTTCCCTGCAACGATAGCTCCACCATACTTCCACAAGTGACCTCGCAATGCGGTGTCGCACGACAACACACACACGCCCATCCCGCGTGGAAATCACAAAATAAACGCCAAATTGACCCCCATGTCTGTCGAACGCGCGCTGACGGCCTCGCCCTCCCTGTCTTCGAATCCCAGCACGTGCGCCCCTACCTTCAAGAGAGCAACGTCTAAAACTACACCTGGACCTAAACGCCATACGACAACCCACACACCACACCACATACGCAGCACACCTGCATCGCTTCGTCGTGCCTCCCCATGACCTGGAGGAAGCGAGGAGATTCAGGAAGTAACCGGTAAGCCACGGCCACCATTGCTGATGGAAGCGCGGCCGCCCCCAGAAACCAGCGCCACATAGTCTCTTCCTGCCTGTTGCACGCCACATTCGTTCGAGGACATCGATAGGGCAGGCGCCACGCCAGGATGTCAGCATCAATAGGATTCATCTCGTGCGGGGAAGGATGGAAAGTATGTGTTTATCACATCGCGAGCTGCAGATAGCATCGAGGGTATGTGTAAGGTAGTGGCAGGCGTGATCGAGAGGATTATGCCCCCACCCATATATCCAAGCAAAGGTTGTCGTCAAGGCACGGGCGTTGTGTATCGTCATGTCGGGGGCATGTACGATGTTGAACGTTCGTCGGACGAAGTCGTAGGGGAGGTCTAGATGGTGGTTGGAGGGAGACACAACGCCAAAGCCGTAACTGCTGTTCGTAGCCATAACCCACACCATTGATACTTTGTAGCACAACACATGCAGCACTAGACCTGCCCCACCACTACTGTGGACCACGTGTATGCTCCCATAAATAACGAAAGGTATGCATACGTGCGCGCGCCAGTGAAGGGGATGTGGTGCTCACAGTCACGCGAAGCGGGGGAGAGGAGACAAGGGTGTTCGGAAGGAAACTTCAGCACTCACCCAGGCCCGAGAACATTGGCGAGGATTAGACCAAGAAGGGACGCGGAGATCATACCGACGCCCCAGAAAGTTCCAGCCACTCGGCAGAGAATTTTGGCCCTCTCGTCGGTTGGCAGAAACTCGGTGACGAGCGCGGTTGTCACCGGCAAATTACCTGCCGTCAGAGGTTGAAACGGAGGACGACGCCGGGTGCACTGCTGAGTGCTGTTGCGGCGAAAGGAACTGTGTCGTCTTGACTGCTGTCTCTGATGAGTTTAGCGGTTTCCGTTTTATTCATACAGGTGTGTAGCCCTCGCCGTTTGACCTTGCGACGGACGAGATAGATTCCAAGCATCTGTAATTTCATCACGGGACTGCCCAACATGTGCACAATGCATGGCTGGACTAAAGGGCATACTCTGAAGTTGTGATTAACTGAACAGCGGAAACGGAGACAGGAACCGCTGAATGAAGTGGACGGGGGGCTTGGCTGGCTGCGCGGCAATTGTGGTCGTTAGTTCGCTATTTTGCTCTGTTTGACCCTTGAATGGCTGTTTCGCTGACCGTCCTAATTGGAAACATCCTCCCAGGCAAGCTTGAAAAACGTGCAAACAAGCTGGCACATAGATCGAGGGCGCAATTTGTGTGTCCTGCCTGCCTTACCTCCTACTCCGAAGCCAACGAGCACCCGGCACAGGCAGAGGATATACAGCGACGGTGACAGAGCGGAGAAGACCCCGCCGACAAAGACGCAGGCCAGGGACGACACGAAGGCTGTCCTGCGGCCGCGCTTGTCGGCGTAGATGGACCAGAAACCCGCGCCAACGAGCATCCCTGCAGCGGAGAGGGAAGAACGCGTTGAGGAGACGAGCAACGGGGTCAAAAGGCAAACCACAAAGATGGTGGCATCTGGCGTACGAATGTTTTCCGTGGCAACGCACGGCGTGTGCCCGCTGACCTTGCTGCGGACACACGTGGGATACCTTGGAAACGCCTGGAAATATCTCCTTGTCTGTTACTCTCTCTACCCCTGCCCCCGGTCCCCGGCCGCTCGCGCCCGTGCTTCTCGCCTTACCAAAAAAACTGGCACTGCCGATGAGCCCCTTTCCGACACTGCCCAGCTCGAACGTGGTCGCAATGTCTTCCAGCACAAACGCCACCACAAGAATTTCCATCGCGTCGATTACCCACCCCTGGTGAGCGAAAGAAGACAAAAGGAGAGACGCGGCAAGGCACGAACCGACAAATGAAGCACCACCAAAAAACAGAGTCGCGGACAGGCATGGAAACAAACCCAGGCAGATAGCGAATGGAAGGTTGGGGGTTCGAATTTCCTCTTTCCCCAAACGGGAGGTCCGCACATATCCCCCCGGCGACAGCAGGGAAGAAGAAACAGACTCAGTTCCTCAACAAGGCCGAGTGATGAGCATTTTGTCTAGATTCAAGTCAAGCCGTTCCGTCCGCTAGCACCATGGTGTGAGGTACGCATGCCCACAAAACGGCTGCTGCACTACCGTAAACAATGCTCATGTCCCTCTGTGGTTGTAGCGCTTTCGTCGGTTATGTGACAACTAGATAAGCACCCATACCACGGAGTACAGCGATACGCTGCAGCAGATGACGAAAAATCTGTTGCTGCGCTAGACTACCACGCACGAGTCAAGCAGCCATTCCAATACATCATAGTGAACCAACACCTGAAGTGATTGCGCCATTGAAGGCAAGACAGTGGTGTTCGGTTGTTGTCTGTTCGCGAAGTTGATAGAACTAGCCACAACACAGACACTACTACGGTACCGTTCGAGGCACAGCAGTATGAACGTTTTTACGGGAACGGAACAAGTTCAATCTAATCGGCGAAAAAGCGAGCATTTCAAATTGCTCCTGTATCTACCAACGGCGGGAAGAGTCGGAAATTGGTGTGTATCGGGAGTTCCAAGAGTAGGCATTTATCTTGTGTTGTAACGAGGAATCCTGCGTTCCTCGCGAGAGCAGGCGTAGCTACGCACGCGTACGTCAATACAGATGAAGGGCAGTCCATCAAGGAGTCACCACGTCGGCGCACGATTGGACGATGCCGCTGAATCTGTGTACAATATCAGGTATAGTTACATTGGTCGCAGTTTGCGTCAGGCAACCGTGCTCGTCTTCTACATGTACGACTTTTTTTTAAACGCAGAATTTCAGTTGAACTTGCGTTTGTCATCACTTGTTACTACCAGGTGACTCAAGGTGGTATAGAGGACACAAACGAGATGAAGATTCGCACACAACCAGCACAATACCTGCATCAACCTGTGTGCAAAACGCTATGCGTGCTTGAAATCTTCTTGAATCTAAGACGACGTTTTTGTCACGACGAAAGCGGTATAGGCACAGACGGACAACCATCGGCTAATACTAATCTGATGGGAGAGCACAGACGAGAAAGACACACATATTTGCATGCAACCACAACAAATCGGTGGTGCGTGCAAAAGTATGCGCGCTTTATTCTTGTTGCATCCTACAGCGTTCGATGTCGCACGCATCATCTGTGGGTGCACGGATCAGCGACAGACGATGATGATGTGTGCCGGAAAGAGAGTACAATAAACGCGCTACACTCTGTGTACCTACGTACGTCACACAACGCACGCTCCCTGCTGCTGTGATGCCACGCTGAAACAATTTCGACGGCCCTAATCTGCTGTACAGCACACCACGGGCACGACACGACCCCTCATCTCAGTTGAAATCACGGGCACGACCACTCATCCTAGTAAAAAAGCGAAGAAGCCGTGCTCACCGCCACGGACCGTACACCCCTGAACGGAGGGTTGTCAGCAGTAGCTAGTGGCATCAGCTACTGCTGTAAACCCGCAGTTCAGGAGATTGGGGTCAGTGGCGGCGAGCACAAGTAGTACAAGACACTGGGTGTCGGTCTAATTTTCGGAGATTTGCGGAGATTGTAGGCTACTTCAACGACGCCCGATATCACCACCACAGAAGCAGATTTCAGCGCACCAACACGTACCCCTCGCTGCTATAGGATGTCCTCTAGTGATATTAGTACTATGCACCAGGCTCCTGGCAACACAGACCTTATTTGGGTGCCTGCTGTTTTGGCTCTTTGACTTGAATTTTAAATGGTGTGAATTTTTTTCTTGATTTCAAAGGAGGCGTATGGAGGTAGAAGCGTGAAATGTATGTTTTGAGCAGCCTCTAGTGCCGCCCTGTGCGAGAATCAACGATTTCTTTTTTTCGCGATGCCTTCCGACTTGTGTTGCGAGTCTCTTGTGCGTTTTCTGGTGCTCTTGCGTTTGTTTTCAACATTAGCCGACATCAAACTTCGTGTTCTGTCATTCCTTAAGCTTGAGATGTTCACGCTACCGACAGTTTTTCGTTGTATTGGCATGGGTTACAGTACGGGCCCGGATCGGGTCGAGGCTCAATCCCTTATTTTGGGTCGAAGGACCAGCCGAAGTCGTCCATTTTCTTAAGGGGGTGCAGAAGACGAATTTTGATGTTGACTAATTTTGAAAACAAACGCAAGAGCACCAGAAATTGCACAACAGACACACCAGACCAGTAGGAAGGCACCGCGAAAAACAGCAATCGTTGATTCTCGCACAGGGCGGCAGTAGAGGCTGCTCAAAACGTACATTTCACGCGTCTACCTCCACAGGCCTCTTTTGAAATCAAGATAAAAATTCGCACCTAATTCTAGTCAAAAGAGCAAAAACGGAAGGTGCTCAAACAAGGTCAATTTTGAGTGCTAGGTGTCGCATTCTATTGTCATCAGTAGAGGACATCATGAAGATGCGTCGTGCGTGCTGGCGCGTTCAGGTTTGCTACTGCGGACGCGACCCGTGGTTCAGGGGTTTTACGGTCCGTGGCGGTGAGCACGGCTGTGACAAGTGTTGGATGCCGCTTGGTTCCGCCACAGATTTCGGACAGTTTTCAGAGGCTGCTGCGACCTTCGATATTTCAGCTCCAGTAGCAAACCTGAACGTGCCAGCACGCACGATGCCTCTTCATGGCGTCCTCCACTGATGACAATATAATGCGACACCTAACTCTGGCGGGAAGGTTGTTTTCTTTCTTTGTATAGGATTAAAGTATAGGAAATGAGCCAGCGTCACAATCCCTTTTCTGCACCCCCTTAAAAGTCATTTCTTGTTCCTTTGGACTGTCGCATCCTCCTGATTCTTGTTTATTTTCTTAATTCTGGCCAAGAATATGCACAACAACACACAACCAATATTCATGGAGCATAACAGAATAAAGCTCGGTGTGTGGCGAACATTGGGGGTTGTCGCCCTCCGGGACTTCCTGACTCCCTCGTCCCGGTCCACCTCTAGCAGCACCCACGCCCCAACGGCCACGGCTTCATCCACGCTCGCTCCCCTAGCAACCCTTGTTTGTAGCATCATGTTTCTTACTGGGAACGTTTCTTATGTTGTGGTCGAGATTGAGCTGTGTTTCTTTGTCCTTTTTTCTTGTTTTTCGTAAAAAGTTGAGCCTCATTCTCTAGACGGATTTTTCTTAATTGCGGGCCCGTACTACTGTAGTGGTAGTGGGGTTCGTGGTGGTACGACTCCTTGGTTATGTCCACCAGTATCCGTGAAAATGCAGGTGTCTGCCCATCACGTGTGAAATGACACTACATCGTCCAAATCACAACGAGGCCTTCCTGCACCGTCCTCAATAGTGGTAACATGCCGCCAATCGGGTTGAGATTGTGACAAAATTTAGATTTTGATGCCTCTGTTCGGGCATTTCACTATTCAGGGTGCCACTACAGTATATTCGGATCACTACTATAAACCGACGATAGAAGGCGACTTAAAATCATGTAGGGATGACCTGCTGCCTATAGGTTGTTGTCCTCGCACTAACAACAACAGCAGTCCACCCCCGTTGGCGACAGCAGCACTGCTACAGAACCTGCGAGATATCAAACAACAGTGTGAAATGCGTCCTCCTCGAATGTACCTGGAATCAACCAGTTAAAATGTAGTTGCACCTATGATTTGCTACGCCAAACAGCAATAAGTACGGGCATGCAAACATACTGGAGCAGTGCCCGGTCCCTGCGCGTATGTACCAACCTGCCAAGCCAGATACAGTCCTGAGCAAGTTACACCGCAGCAACCAGTCGACACACGACACACGACGTTGAAAACACTACAGCAGTACACTCAAGTGGTACACCGCCAAAACAGGCTCACCATCCCGCACATGATGGCCAGCCTCGTCTGAAAAGGACCAAGGCCAATGCGATCAATCGCTTCAGAGAAGCTCCCGGGGGTGCTTTGGACGACACTCGGTGGAACTGCCCTCGAGTCGGAGGCCATAGATGCCATCTCTTGAAGCTGCTCGGTGGGCCGCTTTGTTGCTGAAGTCGCCGTCCCAGTCTCGGTCTGAAGAGATGCCATCTTCCCTGTACTCCTTCCCCCGTCTCTCTCTCTCTCCCTCTCTCTCTCTCTCTCTCTCTCTCGCTCTCTCTCGCTCTCCCTCTCCCCCTCCCTCTCCCGTTCCTTTCCTCCACTCGGTGGAATCTCGGTTGCTTCTACAAGTATTGCGTCTCGCGTCCCGCTCGGGGGCTCCGTGTATCCCCCCCCATCTGTGATTCACGCGCGAAATCATCCACGGATCCCCAATGTCCACCATGCCCCTAATCAAAGACTATGGCTATAAGTCGTGTCTTCGGATGATGAACTCCTATCATCATCCTGGCTGACTACAGGCGCACGGGCGGGATAGAGAGAGAGAGATGGATCCTCCGTAACCGGTTATTTATAGTCATATGTAGTATTTGCCCCTAATGCGGCCCCTCAGCCCTTGGTCACTTTTGTACACATATGTAAATGTATGCCATAATAAACACCGCCCAGGCGCGGGCTCCGTTTTCTTCGTCTCTCACCTGTCACACGGAGCTACAGCAGTATCTCCATCGTACAGGTTGCTTGCCCATGAGTTGCCAACTGTTGTCGCTGCTCTTCTTTTTTGTTTGAGTGTCCATCCATCCATGTGATGCGTGATGCGTAGTTAGTTGTGAACATGCATATAAAAAGTCTAATAAAAATAATGTGCTCTCTGCTGTTTTCCGAAGATACGACACGGACGGCTGCTTTTGGTCTGTCTTGATTGCAGATAAACGTTTTTTTTCTCAATCCCAAATTAGCCGATACTTGCTTTATTATCCAGTCAGTATGTTTGCTTATACTTACGTCGAAAAACCTGCGGAGACTACTGGGTAGTCGGCTGGACTCAACTCTTGGTTTGTAATATCTACAAGGGCCCCGGGCTCCGGGCTTAGGCCGCCGCAGGCACCCTTGTCCTCATGATGAAGCTGGAAACAGCCTCTGAAGAACGTTGAAATGAAACGAAATTGAGCAATTAGACTATAGACTTACAGTAAGCGTTGACAAGCAAAGTCCTCTAATGAATAGCTAGAGGAACGAAAATCTGCTCAACATAAAAAAAAAGTTAGTCGGGATCCGAGCGACCCGACACCTTCACTCCGAGGAGAGTGACCCCCCTTGCCAGCGCTGACATCCATCGGATCTCCATTTTGCTTCATCTCTCATTCAACGCCTACATCCTGCAGAATGTTCCAGGGTCTCAGACGAGTCTTTCCGTCAACCATGCTCTGGCCAGGAGTATCCAGGCGGGTCTCAGCGTGAAAAACACCCCGCAAGTGTTCAGCCTGGGTCTCGAACCCACGATACGACTAACGCCTGAGACCCTGCAACATTTTACACGATGTGGGTGACGAGTGAGACATGAAGCGAAGTAAGATTGGATAGCAGCGCTGACAAAGGGAAGCGGCCCTTCCCGGAGTGAGTGAAAGTGTCGGGTCGCTCGGACCACGCGACTAACGTGCAAACAGGCGAGATCAAATTATTCATTGTAGTATATGTAGTCAGCGCTGGCTTAGTCTGATGGCGGTTTGATTTCGGCTTCTAGATATTTTCTATGAATGGTGAGAGGGTAATGAGCGTGCGCACACACAACTAACTGCGTATCATTTTCGCGATGGATGCCGTTCGCGATTCTCGTACAGAAAGAAGTACAGATCGGTGTGTGATGGGCATGCAGCAGCTACAGAGGCGTGGGTGCAGCAGCAAGCTTGCTTGTGTGCGCACCACTGTGCGCAGCATCCACTGTTTGCTCTCCGCAGAAAGCCTAGACGGGCCCGAGTCGTGAGGATCACCACCACAGCAGCATCGGAACATGGAAAAACAGAGCCGCTGATGGGCTTCGACACTGAGTTGCACAGAAACAGCATCAGAGATGGGTTCCTCGGCCGCAAGTTGGCATGTACACCACTCTCTCTACGTATGTTTGTGCACCTTCACGAGAAAACTGGACCTGTCTGCGCTCAGCTCGAAGCCTAGACAGGCGCGCAGCTTCCGAGGCTCGTGAAGGTCAGCAGCACGTGTTCTTCACTCGAGAGACATGCAGAGTAAATAGCAGAGCAAATAGTAAATACTGTAGGTCCAAAAAGGCGGACGGGTGCAATCTTGACCAACGATAGGACTGTGGGACGGACAAGACCAAGCTCTACGCAAACGACAGGCGACTGCGAACAATTCGAGCGCGTGGTAAGCATAGGACTGCTGGGTGTAGTAGTGTGTCCCAGCTACCGTTCCCACAGTGACACCAACAGTCAAACAAGCAAGACCGCGAGCGGCATACAGAGAGAGCAAGCTCTCACACCAAGAGCACAAGTCTAGAGAAAGCCCATCCCTTCATGCCGACGCGCCAAGTGATGGGAGGTTTACACAAATAGAAATCCCTGAAGACCTTTCACTAGTGTATTGATCTCTTGAGCAGCTAATTGGACAGACTGAAGCACAGACATCACTTGCATAACACGCAGAGATCACCGGGAGAGGGGTTTACCCAGAAAGAATATTATGGGCATCCCATCGCCAATCCTATCCCGCCAGTAACCAATGTGTGCAAGGTTGGTCACATCAACAATACAGTGCGAAGAGCACCCTCCTCTTGCTCCTCCTCTTATCTTACGACCCGTCCTGTGGCTGACTCCCACGGCATCAACGCGCAAGACATATACATAATCGGGAAAACACATGAATAACCACCCCGAGGCAATAATACCGTATCGAAAAAACAGGCATAGGGTGCTCCACAAAGCTCCTGTGTGAAGTAAACGTGAACAACGTTTCTCCTGACCTAAACACCGATCCTGTCAAGTCAAGAATGCCCCAAAACCAAGTTCGGCCAACCAGCCTCTCATACCTCGTGCGATCAAAAGGATTATGACGTTCCTCCAAAATGACATACCGCATGTGCACACCATCTATCAACGAGCAGGGGTGAATTTACAGGATCAACACCCGGTCGTGTCAGACCTCCACCACCACGAACAACACAAAAGAAAGGCTTCCGCGGCCCTAGTTACACCCCCGTAGGTGTGGTTGACAGCTCTATATTTCGGCAAGAAAATGTTGTTTTGGCCGGTTCATTGCGGTCCCAGCTATCGTCGTCCAGTTGTCGCCCGGCCGTTTCGACGGGAATCATGCCTGCGAATGTCATGTGCAAGGATTAGTCCGAAGGCCTGTCCAGCCTAAACGTAATTCGACTGACGGAGGGGAGACGTACGGTTCACGCGCGAACGACCACCTTGTGGTATCGTGCAGGCAAGCACGCGAAACAAACCAAGACAATCCAACCCGTGGACAACACGCAGATAATGGCCACCCCCAGCAAGCAGGCAGGCACTTCGGGCAGCCGTAGACTGCTGTCGAGCGCCTGTACAGGAAGCGGCTAAACCCTAACCCTCGCTTCCCACGATGACAAATAGCGCCGTACATGGAGCAACCCAACAGCCCGTGCGACAGCCATGTATTGCAAAAAAGAGGGGACGGGGGAGCACCCGAACCTTCAGTTCGGCCGCAACGGCTGTACCGCTGGCCGACGAGAACGACTACTTCCGGAACAAACTCGTCGCCTGGGCCCTACCCCACCACCTGCCCACCTGCACCTTGACGCCGGCACCAACCGAAGCCTTTGAGGCTTCAACGTTTTGGAGTGGGGGACTAGTCCAGCTAAACCCTCCTAATTTCGGGCGCTAGCTGATCATTTTGCCAACATCTCTGTCACGGCCGATGCACTTCAAGCAGAAACCACAAGAGGACCTACGCACAGATAATCTTGTGCATCCGTAGGCATTTTTCGCTGCGGTGTGGCTCTGAGACAGGAAAATGGCATACCGTCAAAAAAGGAAGTGAACATGGAGCCAGCTTCCACTCTCGAGTCAATGAAAATACCTACCGGTATACAGATGTTGGATCCCAAGCATGGCTTACCTCCAAGCTTGTCTCGAATTCGGATCCCAACTAGAGCAGCTGTAGAAGTTGACAAATGACTGCTCTTTCCCGAAAAATGACAACTCAATCTCCGGAGGAAAATCGCCATAGGGGCTCCGGATCTGTTATTGAGTCTGCCGAAATGCGCGTAGCTGCGGCCCGCCAGCGCATCGGAAACGCACCAACGCCAACAACAAACGAACAATAAACTCTAAACATACCCGCGGCGATGCCGGTGATGATCATGATCGGCCCGAACACCAGCAAGGGGGCAACCGGACCCCAGTGGTCGTACAACACTTCCGCCAGTACGGGTGCCAACAAACCTGAAACAACAAGAGGAAGAAGAGAGAGCCAAAGTTCAGAAGGCGTTCTCGTGTCAACCCCAAGAAGCCCCCAAACTGCAGTGTTTGTTGTGTGCGCACAGGAAAACGGACACCTGTTGTAGCATTCAGTATCTTGAACGAGGTGCGTTCCACTGGCCAAAAACAACGAAGAATGTTTTACCAGGGCATAAACAGACTCGTAAATATGTGGAGAGGTGGAGGAGGTGTAAGGACGCCCGTAAGCATCGCTGTTGCTCAACGGTAGTTCAGGGTTGGTGCTCGAGTACTGCTGCTCATGGTACATACCGAGCTTTGGATCTGTGCGTGGGAGTAGGACCCTCCATACCGTACAGCCCACGTGTGGGGAAGCAGGCAGGAGTGGTGCAATGGCGGGCATGCAACTCCGGTCGGATGGTCCGTCCAGAATCAGCGAACGCGTGATTATCGAAATATACATTCCTCTGTAAAATACACGGCAGCAGCAAAGGGGACAGCCAGTTCCTTCCGCACCAAACCCCGACTCTCAAATCGCAACAGCAGCAGCAGCCGAGTCAGCCGAGTAGGCAACCGCCAGAATGTACTTCACACACAAGAAGCAGCAATACCCTCGGCATGTCTGCCGTACCAAACACCCCAACAACAGCGGCACAACACATGCTCGCGGCGGTCACCCGCTGTGCAACAAGACTATTTGATGGTACCAGCACCAGGTAGCATAACAAGCAGTGACTCTACTGCACAGCAGCCCGCACCTCCAAGGCGCGTAACAACGCTCGAGCTTCCCAACCCCACTGCCCGGTACTTTGTCGAGTAAAGTTCCGGCGTCAGCACGTACTTCACGGTCACGGGGATGGCTAGCAGAACACGTTGGCAAGCAGGCGGAGGGGTCGGAGGAACGCGTACTTTCAAACGCGTTGCCTGTCCGAGATCATTTGAACATGGTTCACGCATCCTAATAATCCACCGTTCTTATTCTGCGCAGAGATATGTACTACCAACACCTTGCGTTGGGGGGGGAGGGCTCCACGAGTGCGCTTCGGTGTGAACGCAAAAGCTTGGGCAGGGGACAGGGAACGGAACGGATCTTCACCCATCGAACGCCGCCTGCACCACACAACCATCGAAAAAAAAACTCTATTCCATGTACTGAAAAGGGTTCTCCGAGCTACATTTAGAGGAACAGCCTGAGGAATACTGCGCGACACGCAAGGCGCCAATGACCTCCACTGTACAGCGCGTATACTGGCACCGTGAACGAGGGCATTTGGCGCCACAAACCACCTGGCCGGGGAAAGAAGGCTGTTGTCACCGTTTTGGACAAACATTTTAATGAAGTGGATGGTATCCAGAGAAGCGTCGAACGGTATTCTGCCACCACAACATTTCGACACCGACATGGAAGGGTGGTTGCAGAGAAAAAGCGTCAAAATGTCCACCGACGACGCCCGGTCAATTTGTCGCAGATGTTGACTTTGCTTTGTTTCTTTTGTTGGGACAGCAGTACCACCTGCTACCGCCGTCCGGCCTCCTCTCTGCCTCTCTTGTAAGTAGTACTTTGAAGTACGAATTATCGCACCATACAAGCACACGCACACACACACAACCGCACTCACTGGTAACGAACAGGGTCAAGATCGACGCCAGCCCGAAGAGGGCATTTACTCGCAGGGTCGTGGCTAGCAGAATGACGGCGGCGGCCGTGGCATAGGAAGACCACTTGAGAGCACCCACGCGACCGAGACGATGCTCCGAGCACAGCCACATGGCCGCGAACGCGCCTGGTATTGGGACCAGGACCAGGAGGAGGGGCGAGGGGTGACACGGTGTTAACGAAACGAACAAAGTACGTACTGAAGTGGACCCATGTTGACTGAAACATAGAGGGAGGCCTGCGTCAATCCAGGTGTCGGTGGTCGCGCTTCAAAGGGTTGGCGTGCGAACCTAAGCAGCGGGGGCAAGGAAAGGTTGCGCAGGGATACCACGTGTTTTTGACTGCTTTTTTGCGGGTGCGACTACTGCTGTGCCGTACCGAGACGCATCACACACAAAAAACAAATACTCCTGTAAAATCAAATACTCTGGTTCCGTGCTTGAAACTCACATCACCAAGAACTGCACATTTACAATAGTACGAAGTACAACATAAACATAACCGTGCCCGAAAAGCGAGGCTTAGTGTAGAGTCAAAGAGTGCACACAACCCCGACCGTGACATCGCCACCAGCTACGATCAACTACCCTAAATATTCTTACTAACACCACTTCGCTCCATATGGTCTCGCCGTCGGGGGTCCCGCTGAGCAACGGCAAGGCTTACCCGGGATGAACGTTGCCCCAACAAAAGCGCTGAGGATGTACACGAAGTCCGCTTGCCCGCCCGAGATCTTATCGTAGTACCTCGGCAGCAAGAAGGTCACACCGAAATAGCTGTAGCAGTCGTGCCGTCCATGAGGCGCGGGCAATGGGGGAGGGAGAGGGAGGGGGGGGAGGGGGGGTATGACGAGGTGCATCATCGCCTGCGAAACGAAAAGATCGATCAACCTGACAGGTCTGGTGATGGTTGACATCCTGAGAACTTTGGTTGACGTAGGCGGTGCCAAGTCCACCCGGTTCAAGAGCGCCGCTCGCGTCAATTTCAGAGTACGGCCCCAATGGCTGAATGAGTACCTGGCGCTGGCACACACAGAGCAGGCGAACAGAAGTGGCGCCCCATACCACGGGGGGTCCCGGAGTGCATACACAGATTGCTCCAAACCTCGATGAGCCCAAATCGAGAGGTTCTATTGCATATCAGGGGTTTGGTGTAGTACAAACCAATATATGAATTATTACAGGATTTACGATGTCCATACTTAGGCCTACAGATCTCTGTATTTAGGGGCATTGTAGAATTTCATCGTCAGGTCTGAAGCAATTAACATAGCCACAAAATCCTACACTATAGACAATAGAACCCCCAACGAAGCTTCGATACGCCCACAAAAAGAAACGAGGGGGGGGGGATCACTGTGTGCACGCCGGAGCCCCCTTGTCTGTACATGGAAGAAACCCCATACGAGTCGTGAGGGTTCCGACTCGGGTACAACGCTGCACTCGGCTCCCACCCACCCACGAAACCAAGGCCAGCGCACATCTTATAAGTTACGACTTGCCGGAACAACCCGTCCATTGCGTATACTTCCGAGTATCTATATTTCTCCGAACCACCCAGCATAGCCCTTCTTTCTTCCCACCTAATATTCACGGTGAACCAGACCACCCATCTGGGACGAGCACCGGGTTCCGGGGCCAGCATGCCGGACGAAAAAAGCGGGCAACGAGCGGAGCAAGGCAAGCTCAGCCAGCGGGGAGGAAACACGAGCAGCACGAACGGAGCTGCAACATGACCACCGACATTCGAGTACGTGAGGAATGCACGGATTGAGTGCATTTGGTGCGGGAACGAGAGAGGAGAGAGAGGGGGAGGGAGGCGCGTGAGGGGGGCCGAAGATGAGGAGGTGGGGGCGGATCGAGCGACGACAACGAGGGTCGGCCTACATGCGGCGAGGAAAGACGGTCAGCAAAATGCTGAATCAGCACAAGGCAGAAAGAGGAGCATCGTGGCCAAAGCAACAGCGGCACAAACATGGACTTGAAGTATCAACCACACGCGTGCCAAAAAGATGGGTGCTTCATGAGCGCTGGCGAAAGTGTAGATCGCCTCTATCTGTCATCTGGCTGTACTCTCTCTCACACACACGCCCCGCCGCCGCCGCCGCCGCCACACGCATCTGACCAGATACGCCGCCCAATACTCACAGGGACAGCGTGATCCTGCGGAGGATGGGAGTGTGGAACAGCTCGCGCACATCCCCGGCCTCAGCGTTCTCCGCTTCCTGCCCGTGCGTCGAGGCGTCTCCGATCCCGCCAGAGTCCAGATCTGTCAGAGAGAGACCGCGCGATCGTCACCTATCGGCATGTATGTGACGTTGACTTACGAGTGAGGTGTTGGGGTCACCCAACGCCCAAAGGAAACGAGTCACCTGTTTGCTTATCGCTACTGTCCATCACACACGAGTGATCTCGTGCCCGCTAGAAAAATACCGTCGTTATCATAGAAGCTATCCCATGTTGTCAAATATGTGTGAAGTTGGGCTTTCTGTCTAATGGGAGAGGCACCGGGTTATTGCTTCTGGCGCATCGATCGGTTTGTTGTGCCTGGATGCATGCGTGTCGTACGTTGATGTCCCATTGTTCTGGACGTCCATTTTCACAATCTTCGGCATGCTTTCGGTCGCACCAACCGGGGTCACACAGGAGCATGGTCACATAGGATGTATTTTCTTCCTCCCCTTTCCTACCACCGTGTTCTTGCGTTAACCTTCGTCCCGAAGACGATTCAGCTGTTTCTATCGGCCCGAAGCCGGGTTCTTTGTACACACGAATGAATCACCATCGACAATTCCTCGGGAAAACTACAAGACAAATACCAACCTCGGTTCGAGTGACTGCGCCGAGATTCGAACTCATGTCAAACCGCCAGCGGGCTGGCAGGTTACAAGGCCACCAACGGACCCACGGAAGCAGTCAGCTCTTCACGGAAGGGTCTAATATTGGTGATATACGACCGTCTGTCACTTCGCATACGCACGAACCGCGGGTTAGGTACGGGAACCTGAGATTTCTCTCGAAACAAGGGTAATGGGCAGACCGGGAATGAGGCGCGTGGAGACGAGAGATATGCGTACCAGCCTCGTTCGGTAGCTCTCCACATCTTACACCCCCATTCTTTTCTCTCCAATACACACACCCCTCCTCCAAACCACAATGGGAAAACGGATAGAAACCTGACGACCCGGCCATCCGAAGGCGTAGATTGTCGCCCTCGCCGACCGCTTGCCCTGAAAAGTCCAATCCGAGAACGTCGAGCTTGCCGTTCATTCTCGCCACGTGCTCCAGCACCTGTAGGGTGGACACCACAAGAACCTCAAGCAATCTCGTTATCGGTGGCTTGGGGCAACCTTCCCGTGTTTCTCAATATCCGAGGGTCTTGCACTATTTAGACGATCGCTATCGCTCCCTTCAATGAGTGACCTCGCAGTGCGGTCTCTCAAGACAACCCCTCCCGCCCCATACCCCCTCGCGTAGAAGGCGCCAAATTCACGCCCCAAGTGTCTCGAATGCGCTGTGACGGCGTCGCCCCCCCTGTCTTCCAATCCCAGCACATCCCCCCTACCTTCAAGAACGCAACGTCTAAAACTACACCTGGACCTCCTTCTAAACGCCCCGCATATACACAACATACCTGAATCGCCTCGTCGTGCCTCCCCATGACTTGCAGGAAGCGAGGAGATTCAGGAAGCAGCCGGTAGGCCACGGCCACTATTGCGGATGGAAGCGCGGCCACCCCAAGAAACCAGCGCCACATAGCCTCTTCCTTCCTGTGGCATGCAATGTTCGTTCGAGGACTTCGATAGGGCACGTGTCACGCCAAGAGGTCAGCATCGCAAGGGATAATCTCGAGCTGCAAATACGAGCGGTACCTGTATTTTAGTCAAGAGGGGACTCTATTGCGAGAGAGTACGTTTTTAGGAGAAGAAAAATGGCTTGCCGTAAAAAAAACGATACACGAGTCTTTCTTTTACTACATAACTTGGCCACGTACGGTTGAACACAGAATTCTCTGTAACAAACCAAGTCACGATCTAAGAGATCTCATCTGGCTTGGCACGACCCTTGATGAAACCGTAGCTGACACCTTACCCGGTAACAGAGCGCGGCAGTTCGACTTGACCAAGATGATGTTCAGGGGCATCTATGATGTACAAGTCCGTTGGACGAAGTCGATGGGGGGCGCTAGATGGCGGTTTTGGGACACACAAACTCACTTCCCGTCACCGTTAAAGGTATGCCTAAGAGCGCGCGCAGGAGGTGGCGTGCTTTGAGGCATGGCGTTAAGAAGATATGTCCAACCCTTACCCGGGCCCGAGAACATTGGCGAGGATGAGGCCAAGGAGGGAAGCGGAGATCATGCCGACGCCCCAGAAAGTTCCAGCCGTTACGCAGAGAACATTAGACCTATCGTTCGTTGGCAGAAATTCGGTCACGAGCGCGGTTGTCACCGGCAAGTTACCTGCCGTCAGAGAGAAAACGCACGACGACCCGGGCGAAAGGAACTGCTGTGTCGTCTTGAATGCTGCCTTGGATGCGTCTGGTGGTATCACTTTCAGGCAGGTGTGTAGCCCTCGCCGCAAGACGTGACGACGCGCGAGAGAGATTCCAAGCAACTGTATCGGCTGCCTCTATTTGCATCCTCATTACGGCATGGGCCGGATGCGTGCAAAGTGCTTGGTTGGACAACATAGAGGACGTGGGGGACACGCTTCGCAAATTGCGGTTAACTGGACAGCGGTGACGGTGAACGGAAAGCCGAGCGAAGTGAACGTGATGCAAAGTTGCGTTTTCGGCATCTTCTAAACACTGAAATCGCCATTGTGCTCTGTTTTGACACTTGAATGGCGCCGGCCACGCTGCTAAAGTTGGTTTCGCTGACCGTCCTAACTGGAAAATCCCCCCAGGGAACTTGGCATTTGTGTGTCCTGCCTGCCTTACCTCCTACGCCGAAGCCGACGAGCACTCGGCACAGACAGAGAACATGAAATGACGGTGAGAGAGCGGAGAAGACCCCGCCCACAAAGACGCAGGCCAGGGACGACACGAAGGCGGTCCTGCGGCCGCGTTTGTCGGCGTAGATTGACCAGAAACCCGCGCCGACAAGCATCCCTGCATTGGAGAGGGAAGAACGCGTAGAGGAGACGAGAAACGGGGTGAAAAGGAAAACCACGAAGATGGTGGCGTGGGGGGATTCTAAAACCTTTCGGTGACGTAGTACGGCGTGTGCCCGTTCACCTTGCTGACGACACACACACGGAACACCTTGGCAAACCCTCGGAAACGTCTGTCGCTTTGAGTGTCACCCCCTCTTTCCCTGCCCCCCGTCCCCCGTCCCCCGTCCGCTCGCGCCCGCGCTCTTCGCCTTACCAAAGAAACTGGCACTGCCGATTAGCCCCTTTTCGACGCTGCTCAGCTCGAACGAGGTCGCGATGGCTTCCAGCGCAAATGCCAACACAAGAACTTCCATCGCATCGACTACCCACCCCTGGCAAGCAGAAAGGGACAAGAGAGACGGCAAGGCACGAAACGACAACAAACACAAGCTAAAGCAGAGCCGTGGGCACGCGTGGGAGAAAAACTCGTGCAGCCAGCGAATGGGAGATGGGGCATGTCGATTTTCCTATCCCCCCGGCGACGGCAGGAGAGGGCAGAGAAACAAAACATAGACCGCTCCTAAACCGACATCCTGCAGATAGCCAGTGTCCTGTTGACAACATCGCGCCAGCTTCTGATTAATGACCGGTTACGAGAGACACACGCACCCACCCACCAATGACCAGGCACAGCCGCAGTAGAGGCACCGCACAGTCATTCCACACACCGTTTGCACCTTCGGCGCCGTCGTGCCATTTCTTCGTCAGCAACAAAAAGTGACGCTCGGCGAACTTTCGATGTGGCTCCTTCCTTTCGCGTTGTGCTATGACGTACCTAACTCTGTACGGAAAGAGTGGAGCGGGCTATCTATCGCTTCCGTGGCACGCGTTCACCTGATATGTGTGCGTCTGCTGCCAGTGCTACTTTGTTGATGCTCAGGCATGATGCTACACACAGATTTCTAGAGGGGACGCAATAGAAAAACAGGCTGTTTATTCGTCTGCCTCTCTCTCAATCATTTCCCAGGATACTAAAAAGGCCTAACAGCCACAGCTGCAGTCGTATGTTCGTGTGTTCCGCAGTAATTAGTGAACAAAGCAATGTCTTAAAAACATTTTTAATTTTCTTGCCCTTGGTGCACCCGCAGAGAGAGAGAGAGGGAGAGGTCTTTGTACGTAAGGTGGTTTTATCTTTCACATGGGCGCCTGGTATGCAATAAACAGGCAGACCTCAGACGTGGTTCAATCAACAGTAGCAGCAGCAGCAGTAGTAGGGTAGAGCAGCAGCGACAAAAGCACTCTGGTGCGGCACGAAATGCACCCCACGAAGGCTGCGCACGTTCATCGGCTTGAGCGTACTATTAATGCTGCTCAGCGTTCCAGACAGGCCGCAGGCCAAAGTTGCGGCAACCTGCGGTTACCGCAACAACACATTGCAGCCCCTCGTAGGGAACCCCCGGGAGGGCGCGCTCCCCGCCTCCCCGGAGAGACTGCCGGAGCCATGTTTCTTACGATTCCACGTATTTCTTGCAGATTATCATTTCAAAAAGCAAAACAGTGTCAAATGCTATACTTCATGTTCGTATTGTGATTTTCATCTATTTCGCAACAGAATATGTATCGTTTCCCAGGGAGAAAGAGACACATGAAGTTTTTCTCGCCTGTGGGGCGGCGAGATACAGCGCCTAATTTCTTTTCTGAAAGTGCCGCGATTGTTTTTTCGTCTTGTGCGTACTCAGGCCCTGTCTTAACGTTACTAATTGCACCTATATTCAGCACCCAATTGGATTAACCTAATTGGGGTTTTGGCCAGAAAGGGCATGCGTCGTTGTAACGTAATTTGCCACGCCCAAATGCGAATCGAGGCTCAGCATGCCCAAAGGCGGCGGAATCGCTGCCGCGAGGTGACGCGGTCACCAAACAGAAGCTGTAAAAAATAAATCAGCACACCAGGTGGTGCCAGTGGTCCAAGCCTCATCCTCAGGCTTGCTCTAAACTTTCTTGTTTGGACTGTCTCGCTGCACAAACCGGCCGTTCGTATTCGACATGGTACATTTTGGGAAGCAACTTCCACAGCAACCCACCTAACGCGAAAAGTTGACACTCTCACAGAATCATTGAAACAGAGCTATTTCCCAGCAGCGGGCAGTGGGCGATGCGTGTGAGTGCCGCTTGATCAGTTTGCCACATGCGGTCCAGTCAGGGGCAACGCCAATACGAGGTCAGCCCATCATGGGGGCGGGGGGGGGGGGGGGCGTACCCTTAAGTTTTGCATGCCTTAGCGGTTAAACCGTTGACCACCCGTCCCCAAAAGGACGGAGCATTGTTCCCACAGAACCAAACACCGATTTCCAATCCTTCCCCCCTACTTTGCCAAAGGGGGGTCAAAAAAGTCTGTCTATCCTTACAATATCCTTTTCAAACCATTTCCTACTCCCCAGTACAGCTACCGTCCTCTCCTCTCTATTCCATGCCTCAAACATCTCCCTGCACGTCCCTTGTATTTTTCCCAGCTCAGTCATGTACACTTCCCTCTCCTCTTGGTACCACGGACATTCCGCGACTACATGAACACGGTCTTCGCATTCGAAGCCGCAATCACATCTGAACTTGTCGTCTTCGTCGTCTACCGTCCTATGTCTTCGTCGACGTTCTCGAAGGCCTATGTCCCCGGTCCTGCATTTGACCTTAAGCTTTGTCCCTGCATCCATTGGTCCATGTAGGTACCCCTTGAACCCTATCCCTTCTTTCAACATTCCGTACACTTCTAGACCCTCCTTATCCTTGGTTTCTTTCCTTAGATTCTGTTTTCTCTCTCGGCACAAGCAACAGATATCTTCTCCTTGAACCCCTGTAGACCCTTCGTTTCCAGCGTTTCATCTTCGTCGATGTCTAACCCCTTCCATACGTCCTCTACAACCTTGACCCCTTCCATGGGTTGTCTACCCCTCTTTTTTTGTTTGCCCACGTCGCCTCCCATACTATTCTCGGCAACCTCTCCTCTCCATCCCGCACATGCGATACTGCCATGTCAGCTTCCTTGCGTCTCTTCCCGACCGTAGGGATTGGATTGGAGCATCCTAGGATGATTTTTCGCTGCTTTCATCTGCGCCGCCTGGAGTTCTTTCACTACCTTATTATTTCCTTCCCATACTTCTCCGGCGTACTCTAGCGGGGGTATGATTTACGCTCTTCAAAACCGTCAATTTGATGCGTGTATCGAGGTGCCGGTTTGCGAGTATTGGGCGCAGCTTCCCTGCTCGTGCTTTGCCCTTTTCCGCTACCTTGGACATGTGTGCATTCCACGAACAGTCTTTTGCGATCTCTAATCCGAGGTATGTGTACTAATCCGAGGTATGTGTACTGGTCCACTACTGCAATCTCCTCGATTCCCCACTTCCATCTATGTTCTACTGGTTCCTCCCTGACCTCGTTGCATACCATGACGGCACTCTTCTTAACGTTGGCAGACAATCTCCACTCATCAGTAAACTTCTTCGCCGCGTCAATTTGTAGTTGCAGTCCCTCAGGGGTGTCCGACATACCAACAAAATCATCCGCAAACAGCATTCCTGACACCGAAGTTTCCGTGTCCCCTACTTTTACTCCCTTCCGGACTGCCTCTACGACTTCCAACAGATCGTTGATGAACACCTGGAACAATGTTGGGGACAGCGTGCAACCTTGTGGGACCCCCTGCTCAATGTCGAAGAATTTAGACAGTTCTCCGTCTAGCATGACCGCGCTTTTCGTACACTCTGTCATCTTCTTCAGCACTCTCCACATCAGCCCATCATGGGGGGTGCAAAACGGGTGCAGAGCAACTCGGGTAATCCGATTCAGCGTAGCATAGTCAATCCAATTTCCCATTGTTTATTACTGCACGCAATACCAAAGTCTCGCTTTTCCGGGCAGCAAACGCCTCATCGTGTTTTTTGCTGTTAAATCGACCAATCACCGTATCTGCCCCGCCCCACCGTAGATTTTTCAGGGCTTCTATTTGGGTGACGATTTTGACACTTTTAGTCTGGACGCCCAAATGGGCACACTTTTGGACACAGCACTAAACATCTATGTATCGTACCGTACTCGTCTCTACAGTGCCGGTTACGATATAAGAGAAGGTGTGACAAGCCGAAATCCTTCTAGTAAACAACCGACTTTCTCTTATTTTGTTTAAGAGGATTTTTCTCTTCCTACGAAAGTGCGATATAAGAGAAATTCGCTTATTTCTTAGCCAAATTCTCGGGGGCCGTTTAGAGCAGGGATTCTTCCAAATCGATGTCAGAGCTCCATGAGCGCATTCAAAACCATGCGAAGGTCGTGCTGCAGCAACGACATCGCGTCGTTCTCATTCAACGCACGGTTGAATGCATATTTAGTGCACGCCCATAGAAAAAAAATGTCATGCGAACTTACGTTTGCGGGTCTGCTACGCGCTGTGCCTACCAAAGCTTGCCGAAGCGAAAACAGTGCTTTCACGTGACGTATACACCCTTACAACTATACACAGATTTGGTCTTCTTTACAGGAGTTTTCTTTGGTTTCTTTGGGCTGTCAGAAGACTTTGCACTGACTGTGGCGCCAGCTGCCGGGCCAGTCGTGGCCTGTCGTGTCGAACAGCTCGGCAGATGTTCTGCTGTGGAACCCAGAGTGCCAGCACATGCCAACAGCTCAGCGTTGGCGCGACAGCTGTCAGAACGGCTGTGGAGTGAGCGTAAACGTGTGGGTGGCGCACAGTAGCGTTTCCAGCGTGCATACAGCAAGGCGGTGACCGAAGCATCATGCATGATGGTGGTGATGTGTCCTAAATGATAAAGTTGTGGCAATACAAGAGAGAGAGAGCGGTTTGAACAGCAGTACGTCACTACAACTACTGCTGCTTGCTGTGAACAGGCAACCAAAAAGCGGTGACAGCTGGTAGTTTCTGAAGTTGAACAGCAGTAGGTCATTAGCAGATGCCAGAAGGTGAGTGCTTGGCGAAGTTCAACGTAAAGACGTCAGTAAAGAGAAACTGAGAGCAGGTCACACACACGGACGATTTTGTATTCAGGACAGAAACTACGGTCGGAGAAAGGCCCCCGACAGGATGCAACATCAAGTCATTTTGTCCGCCCAGGAATCTGACTGTCTGTGTGAAAGTTGCTTATTTTATTGTTCTGTACAGTTCTGTCATACGCGCAGAGACGTTGTGGACTGCTGTCTCAGGCTTGGCTGAACCCCCAAATGCCCCAGAACGACTCGCGCCATGTCATGGCGGTGTCAGCAGAGGTCAAGTGCAGAGCAATGCAGACCATCCATGCAGACCGCTGAGCCTGAGGTTGGGACCGACATTGGCATCGCGGCAAACGCACGCACCATACGCACATAATAT